TGAAGCAAGTGCACTGGGCACCACTGAAATTTTCAAGGGACTGGAGAACATGGCATGTGAGCAGAGCCTGAGACCTGGGCCTGTTCAACTTTGAAGAGGCAGAGAGGCGATATTTTTGTTATCTTAACTACCTGATCAGAGGATACAGAAAAGATTTAGCCAGATTCTTTTTGGTTGTGTGCAATGATGAGATGAGGGACAACAAACCCAAGTTGGAGAATAGGAAATTGCAATTAGATATCAGGAGATACATTTTTAAAATTTTGTTGTTGTTGTTACTGTGAGGATAGTTAAATAGTGGAATATGTTGCCCAGAGAAGTTGTGGAATCTCCATCCTTGAAGGTGTTTTGCTTGACTGAACACAGCCTGACCAACCAGATCTCATTAGATCTCCTTTGAGCAGTGCTTTCTCTAGATGACCTCTGGGGGTAGATCCCAGTCAAAATTATGATTCTGTTGCAAGAGCCTTCCTTTGCTTCCATGTTGTTCATACGTTAGTGTAACACTCTTGACATCCGTGGGAATGTTTTCAGGGTGAAACTCATTTCCTGGCATTCTGTGATTTCTGAGTCTTACCAGTTGCCTGTTCTACTTTTGTTTTTTTAGCTTGCTTTTTGCTGTTGCAGGGCTGTGCAGTAGGCAGTTCCGTCCAGTTTTGAAAAACTGGTTGCTGAAATTAGTGCCAGTTCTTGGACCACCTGCTACAATCTGTGTTTAGCATGTCCTACTTTGTGCTTCTGCTGCTCCCCTCTCCTGGTAGCTGTATGTCTTACATAAACTGCTCCACGTTGCTGCTGCCCATTCCCTTGAGACCAGTGCTTGACTTGATGACTGACCCCTTTCATGTTAGTTCACCTTAATGCTGTTCCTCCCTGCACTACTGGTGAGGGAAATGTGGATTAAATAAAAATGACAAGAACATGCCAGTCCTGGTGACTCTTACCTCTGCTTTGCAGATGAGGACACCAACAATGGGAATGAACTGCTGTCTGGAGAAGCATCTTGTAGAAAATGCAGACAACTGCTTTCATTATGGCCTCCTATCTTTTTTTTGATCCAAATGGTGCCACTTCTTTTACATAAAAAGGGTGGGGAAATACATGATTAGTTGGTTTCTGGCGTTTCCCAAGTTATTTGCTGTTTATTTGTTATCTAAACATCATCTGCAGTTCCAGCATAGTGAAGTGTTGGAGTGAATGGGGAGACTGAGGCAAATGGTATATTTCCTAGAAAACCTTCTGCTGGTTTGCCTGACCCTGTGTTTGCTGAGAGGTATGCATACCACAAGAACATTGATCTTTTAGGCCCCCCCCCCCCCAAAAAAAGTGCTATTTTACTGTAACAGGGATCTTTGCTACTTTGCCAAGGAAGTAATCAATGGTTCTTGCGTATCTCCATTTTACTCTCAGTGCTGCTTCTCTCAGCATGCTAAGAGCCTCAAGCAGGAAAGCGCTTCTCTCTGAATCCTCCTTGCTACTATTTCTTTTTCAGGATCAAGTTGCTTTCCCTTGGGTGACTCACTGAAACCAACCCTTTCTCCTACAGGGGACTCATGGTTGTCTGAGTCTTCAGCTGTGGCTGGCCTGTAACCCCCATCTTCTCCCTCTCCCTTCTGTGTGTCAGGTCACATCTCCTCAACGTCATGTCTGAGAGACTCAAAATCCTTGCCTGGAGTGATTTTCCCAAGCTACTGTACAAAGAGAGGAATTGGGTAGACAGCAGAGCTGTGGAGGAAGAAATAAATGTTATGGTAGGGAGGGAGTAAAGAAGCCCCCTAAGGATGAAGAACAGTGTGTGAGAGGTCAGCCCAGTCCTGAGCTGTAGAACATTTAGCTAATGCTTTAGTCTGAACTTGAGCAGAGGTGGACTTCAGATTTGTTGTCTGTAATTAAATGGATATTACATAATGCTTTTTAAACCTTCGCCATTTGTGAGAGCTGCAGGCAAATTGAAGTTATTCAGGGGTCAAAGCATCTCTCACCTAGTATGTGAGTCTAACAGATCCCTAAGATATCCTCAGGAATGGAACAAACATTTCTTCATGTATATGCTTCTTATAGGGAGACAAATAAAACAGACTGCTTTAAACAGGTAATATTTACTTGACATTTCACAATGCCAATATAAAGACTTCCAGAAAGCTTCTAGAAGGAAAAAGTAATTTTTTTAATGTGCACAGTTTTGCACCCACTGTGGAATAAATCAATAGTCGACCTTGTTCTAGCAGATAAAGAAGAGTTAATACCTGACCTGAAATCCCGCAGTTGCCTAGGTACCAGTGATTGTTATTTGTGTGTATTTACTTTGTGCAAATAGAATATGGCATCAGGCAGTGATGTAAGTAGCTTCAGAAGAGTCTGTTTCTTCAAGTTTAAACAATTGGCAGGATAACTGCCTGGGAAGGTACCTCTGAAAGTAAAGTGTTAATGGAATCTATAAAATACCCAACAAAATTGTACTGATGGCCAAAAAGGCATGATTCCACAGTCACTGAAACTATGTTAATAAAACATAAAACATTCTGCACATTAGGAAGGGAGGATGAAGAGTAGGAGGAAGTCAGTGGCAGGGAATATAATTGCAAATTTAAAAAAAGAAGCAAGTGAGAAAGGAAATGTGCTGATCATGGAGATATGGGTGATGGAGGGTCAGAGAAGGTGGCAGTTTTTTACATGTGAGGAGAAAAAATCTAGGTGTAGCTTCAGTATAAAGTTAGGAAATAGTTGTGTGGGTTTTTTTGGAAAAAAGCAGCAACAAAACAACTGCCCCAAAAAAACAAACAGAAAAAAACAACCAAAAAAACCCAGCTTGCTGTGTTTATAATGTAAAATAGGTATTATGATGTAACATAGGAGGTATCTGTACCATATTTGGTTTTGTTTATAATTTATAACAAAGGAGAATGACAAGACAATACTCGCTAATATTTATAAATCAGCAGATAAAGCTACGGTACAGCCAAAGCTAGAATCTCTTTTATTCTTTAATGTTAATTTTTACCAATTCTTGTAAACTAGGGGAGTTACAGAAGACTGGAACACTGCCCAGCAGGATTCACTGTTGAAAAAATTGAATGACCCAAAGAGCTACAAACCAATTATCCATCTGTTGATCCAAGATAAAAATAATTCTAGAATTTTTATTAAAAAAAAATTAAAAGTTTGAATCTGAAGAAACTGTTTAATATATGTTCACTGTAACTTTGGATAAGGTAATATACATCTTTTCAGACAAATATTGTATTGTCTTTTTTCTTAGAATCCTAAAATCATAGAATGGTATGGGTTGGAAGGGACCTTGAAGATCATCTAGATCCAATCCCCCTGCATTAACAGGGACAGCTCCTGCTAGATTGAGTTGCTCAGAGCTCCATCCAACCTGCCCTTGAACACTTCCAGGAAGGGGCCATCTATGACTTCCCTGGGCAACTTGTTCCAGTGTCTTGCCACCCTCATAATAAAGAATTTCCTCCTAATGTCCAGCCTAAATCTCTGCTCTTCTAGTTTTAATCCATTACCCCTTGTCCTATCACTACATGCCCTTGTAAAAGTCCCTCCCCAGCTTTCCTGTAGTCCCTTCAAATACAGGA